ATAATGTTGGGTAGAATCTTTTTCATAAAAAAATTAAGTCTTGGTAAGACTATTCCTACCCAATTTTATTAATAATAAAAATAAAATTAAATATGTAGAGTGGGTAACAACTCCCATCTACTATAATTATTTTATTTTTATTAGTATTTAATCTTTAATCTAAATTAAATATTAATAATAACAAATAATTTATGAAACATTTTCAATATTATTTGTTAAAATATCTTTCTTTCCCAATAAAATAAAATCTTCTCCACATATAATAATATTATTATTTGGGTTTGAATTTTAAAATCCAATTTTAAAATCCAACTATTAATTTAGTAATTCCAATAATTACTTGATTAATATCCAAAATTAAATTAATCAATCTAATTGATTAATTTATTATATTCCTTTAATTGACATCTAATTAAAATTATATTTAATTAAATAATCTAATTATTTAATTAATTATTGTCAATTAATCTAACTCTTTAGAAATACTAATTTCAAAATATCTTCATTCAAAACTTGGTGTGACCTTTTAGGTTCACAATTAATACTAGTAGTGGATTTACAACTCTTTGTAATTAAATTAATCTAATTAATTCACATTCTTGAAATTAACACCTTAATTTCAAGAACCCACAAATCATGGTAACACCTAGCAAGTAGCATGATCATCTAGTATTAAGTGAAATAACGAGTAAACCTTTTCGATTACAATTACATACATGTAAAATACTTTCGACAAATAATTTCTGGATTAAATCTTGGGTATGGTTTTTAGTCGAACCCATTTGATTTAATAACTATGATTTCATTTCAAGTTTAGTGATTCCTTTATGAATCTATATTCATCTTGCCTTGGCCAAGGTCTTTGAATCACAAACTATGAAAAACATAGAAAATTCACTTATCATATAAGTGTCGAATTCTCTGTTGGCCACAGATAAACCTCCATACTTATTATTACAATATCCAAAATATCCTTTTTATGATTGTCTAGTAATCAAAAGATAAATCAAAATAAAGTATAACATGCACAAGATTACTATTGTGCCTCAAGTCAAAGGATCAGTCATGTACTATTGCAACATGAAAATCCTTATTCGACCGTTAAAACTTCCATTAAGAATTTTCATTCGGTCATGTTCAGTGAACTTGTTCCCTAACAAGCACCTGCATATATGTATTTGCGTCCACACGCTAATGTTGATGGAATGCAACATTCTTGTCCAACAAGCATACATCATACGCACAAGTCTTACCAGGCTATTCAATGTCCTATTTCGAAATACCCATCGACTTCAAACTTTATTTAAGATCACAACTTTAAAAGCATGTTCCATGATTAC